GAGAGAGAGAGAGAGAGAGAGAGAGAGAGAGAGAGAGAGAGAGAGAGAGAGAGAGAGAGAGTACAAGTGTGAAAGTAGTATATGGGCTTAAAATCACTTCATGGCAGACTTTCAGCAATGTATCTGACTGCAACTGCGGCGAGATTCTGTGCGGAAAAAGGTAAGTGTGTCAGAATATGACCTTGAAGGCTAGAACTCACTTGATGCCAGACTTTCTGGAAAGTATCTGACCGTAATTCCGGCCAGATTCTGTGGAAATGAAGTACAAGAGTGATAATACATGGGCTATAAAGTTTAAACTCACTTCATGCCTTCCACGTCGACTCCATGTACCAAGAACTCATCGGCAAAAGCCGCCAAATCTTCCAATGCCTCAGCACTCAGTGCCACGTCACTAAACTTCTGCCACCTGTCCGTCACGACCATATATTTTCCATCCTGCAATCACCACCCCACCACTCCACCCACACCACCCCACCCCACCCACCCACCCACCCACCCACCAGCAAGAGAGAGCTATAGCTTATAACATCCTACGTTCTTGCTTTCTGCCCTCCAAAAGAAAGGCCTGTGTATTGCCCAGCTCATTTGGGTCAGTAAAACACACACACACAAACACACACACACACACACACACACACACACACACACACACACACACACAGAATCATTTTTATGTATGTTTTCTTACTTTTTGTCTCCCTAGCTGAGCACCCTGAAGCAGTGGCTACTAGTCGGTCGTTCCTCGTTTGGAGTGCCTGCAGCACTCTTGGGGGTGGCACTCAGTTCGGGATGTCCGTGTCTTCTGCGAGGGATGACAGATGTTCGTCGGAGTGGGGAGAGGATGAGCCCTCTGCACAAGCCTCTTGTTGCCATCACAGGTCAGGACAAAAGAATAGTAGAGAAGAGAAACAAGAGGGGCCTTAGGCCTGTCGATGTACGGATCCATAGCCAAAACCGCGGAAGGCTCCTGTGAACTGCTGGGTGGGTAGCTGAAAGAGCCTGGTTCAGTGAACGGGCTACGTACTCAGAGTGAGGGGTACGTGCTCAGTTGGAGCTGAGTGTGCGAGAATTGCCGATGCGTCCGCGGAGGAGTTGGATGTGGTGTTGAGTTGTGTTCGGACACTACAGCCTTGAAGGGGTAGGGTGCATTCCACGACCGGCATGGTTGCACTTTTTTTAACACCGTGTCCTGGCTGGAGTGGTTCAGAGACTTGGCTCTTGGGGCCGAGGTCGCCGGTTCGAATCCGTGCAGGAGGACGGAGGAGGATTTCGGCCCATCGAGGTACGGATCCATAACCAAAACAATACCGCCTCCTCCCGGAATAGAACGTATGGATTGGCCCAAATACAGGCATAATTACCGTACGTTCTACTTGGGGGGAAGACGACAAGCCGAGGGAGCAAAAGCATACTGAGAGAGAACCCATTTCTAGGGGAGGAAGGAGAAGGAATGCAGAGAGGGGGGGGGG